CTATCTTGTGAAGTTGGTGATTATTGACCATCATACAGGTTGTCAGCATGTAGAGCCCTTGTATTCACAGATAGCACATTGGGCTTTTAAGCACTTTAAGTTTAATGCCTATTAAATGTGATATAATTTACATGACTGTCACTTCCTTTCTTTGATATCCTAAAAATTTGGTTGGGCTGCTCGAAGGCAAGACTGATCTGGCCACCACGTTCTGCGATAATAATAAGCTGATACATTATTATAAATTGTGCTTTATATAATTAAAACTTTATTTGTGAACAGGTACCAGGCTTAAGATCCATACTAGAAATGAGGTGAGATGCTTTGGTAACATGGTTCCAGTTATTAAAGATAATTCTGAAGTTTCCATGTGGAAAGGCCCATATGACTTAGCACATTTACAAGCTGTAACAGTCAATAGATACAGGACAAGCTTATGTCCCTATGGATCCATGAACTATTGGTGCAAGATTAGGAAACAAACTATATTGTGGAGAGCAGAAAGAGAGAGAAAGATTGTGGGCTCTCCCAGAGTGGTGCTGTTGTCTTTACAGAACACCCACTGCAAACCAACCTTCATTTCTTTGGAAACCAGCTTGGAAAATAGTCGAGGTGGGTAGCGTTAATGTTTCACCTGCTGGAAGCTGAAGTGTTCATTTTATGCATTGACTAATTTATGAGTTTAGTGAGAAATTTCTTTGTAAAATAAATTCTAGAATGAGAGAGAACCTGAAAACGAATTCCCTCTGCACACCATGTGCGTATGGTCCCATTAGCAGCTGCACAGTGGGCAATCGATTAGGGAGGGAAAAATGGCTTTTTTTATGGTAATGGATTTTGAGCCTCCTGGTGATAATTTATTTACTAGAAATTTTGCAGAGCTGGCTAGCACGCTGATGAAAACCCTCTGAACATGTTCATTTAAAAAGAGGGAAAAGTGGCTTGGATTATTTTTGAGAAATATTGTTATTAAGTCATTGGAAACATATTGATAAAATATGCCTGAAGGCTGCAGTCCTATAATTTATTATACAAATGATATTGCCATTGACAAATAGCAATTTAATCCCACAATTAACTTTGACAATTTGAATTTCTCTTTTGCAGTTTTATATTTTTATTTTTAGAAAAAGTTTGATAGCCATTCAGTATGCTATGCTAGGCTAGTGGTCATTGGTGACTTTCTTTAAAGGCATTCCCATCTCCCCACGGTTTCTTTGTACAAAGCTAATCCATCCAACTATAGAACAAAGTACAAAACCAATGTCTTTTCCCTTTGAGTTCCAAATTCTACAGAATATTGAGTTAAAATCATTTCTTCATCTTCAGATTTCCTTAATACAGGAAGAGAGAAAGATACTTTTTTTTCTATTTCAAACAGTAACTTTAGAATCAGAGAGAGTTGAATTTCTCTTTCACTTCAATTCTGTAGTGGCTTTATGTAGTGGAAATAATACATTTTCTTCCCTGGATTTCCTTTCCGTTTGTGTGCGCGTGCGTGTGTGTGCATGTGCCTGTGTGTCTATGTGTGTGTGCATGTGTATCTGTGTGTGTGTGTGTGTGTGCATGTGTATCTGTGTGTGTGTGTGTGTGTGTGTGTATTTGTATGCATGAACTTTAGTGGAGGTCTGTGAATGATGGATTTTTTTTATGGGAAGACACAACATACACATATGTGCTCATTACAGAAAGAGTCCAAAACAGACCAAAGTAATGGTTGGACCATTTAATTTGGTGAACCAATGAGTTGTTTGTTTTTTTGTTATTGTTGTTGTTTTTTAATTGGTGTTACTAACAGAGTATAAATGAGGTTATACTTACAAGGACTAGGCAACTCAAAAACAACTAAATCACTGGAAAGTTTACCCCATCATTGGCAAGGGCTCTTACAATCCTGGAGTTCTCTCCACAGTTTGTATCAATGCCACTGACTGGTGATCTCTTTAACATTGTGTCCTCCTCACCAAGACATTGAAAATTCATCCCCATCCTGAATTTTCTGACCTATTCCACAGCTCTTGAAAGAGCATCCTCTTCTGGTCCAGTGAAATAGGCATCAAACATCATCTTTAAAAAAGGAATCAATTGACTCTCCATGAGCTCCACGTTTTTGGGTTCCAGGAGGAGCTGTAGGCAGGAATTTAACTTTCACTTTAGTTTCTTGCACCCTTCCAACTGTAAGAAACAGCAATGAAACGTCTGTTTCTCCTTCTGTCTTACACAAGCAATTTCCCACTGAGTTTCCATCTCAGGCATTATGTGTGTATGTATGTATGTATGTATGTATGTATGTATGTATGTGTGTATGTGTGTATGTATGTATGTATATATACAACCTCTTTGACAACCTATTAACCTGTTAGCACTTTCATTCTGTATATATTACTTTCACACACCATGGAAAATGTTTCATTTTTAGGACACTTATACTCAGGCATCAGACTCTACTCATTAATCAGGTATGACACCCCATTCTGCATAGAGCAAGTCACTCTCACCCTGATTTCTTCCACAGACTCTTCTTTAATATTTTACTTCCAGATGGAGGATTCAGCCTTGGTTACATGACTCAACCCCCACTATAGTGGTCATAGAACTGGCGCAGTAGCAAAAGAGCACCCTCTTCCTTCCTACATTGTTCCCATTCTAGTTACTTGTGTGCTAGTTTGTGTTTTATCAGCCTGACACAAGCTAGAGTAATTTGGAAGGAGTGCTCCTTAATTGAGAAACATGCCCTTAAGCAGTCTGTCTGTGGACTGTCCTGTGGACCATTTTTCTGGATTAATGACTGATATGAGCACTGTGCATAGTGCCTTCTCGGTGCTGGTGGTCCTGGGTGCTGTAAGAGAGAAGGTGGAATTGTTTTTTTATGTCTAGTTTCATTAGTGCCTTATATATTTTGGAAATCAGCCCTCTGCCACTCATGGGAATTGTGAAGATCTTTTCACATTCTGCAAATCTTTTCTCATCCATTATTTTTATTTTATTTCATTTCTATTTTATATGAATTTGTGTCACCCATGTAGTCTGGTGAGGGTGTCAGATTTCCCCAGAACTAGTTACAAACAGTTGTGAGCTGCCATGTGGGTTCCAGGAATTGAACCTGAGTCCTGTGGAAGAGCACTCAATGCTCTTATCCCTAAGCCATCTCTCCAGCTCATAAAGAACTCAAGAAACTAAGACATCCAAAAACCAAATAATCCAATTAAAATATGGGTTACAGTTTTAGACAGAGAATTCTCAACATAAAAACTCAAATGGCTGAGAAACACCTAAAGTAGTGTTCAGCATCTTTATCCATCAGGGAAATGCAAATCAAAATGAATCTGAGATTCCATCTTACACCTGTCAAAATGGCTAAGATAAAAAAACACAAGTGACAGCTTATGTTAGAGTTGATGTTGAGCAAGGGGAACATTCCTTCATTGCTGGTGAGAATGAAAACTTGTATAATCACTTTGGAAATCAATATGAGGGTTTCTCAGAACATTGGGAATTGAACTATCTCAAGAGCCAGGTATGTCAGTCTTGGGTATATAGTAAAAGGATGCTTAATCATACCATAAGAACTCTTGTTCAGCTATATTCATAGCATTTTTATTCATAAATACCAGAACCTGGAAACAACATCGATGTCCCTTGCCTGAATAATGGATAAGAAAAATGTGCATTTACATAATGGAGTATTACTGAGTCTTTAAAACACTAACATCAGGAAGTTTGAAGGCAAATGGATGGAACTAGAAAAAATAATCATCCTGAGTGAGGTAACCCAGACCCAGAAAGACAAACATTTGTTTGGGGGAGTACTGGCAACATTTGAACTTTGGGCTGGGAAAAAAAGTATTATATCAGTTATAGTTACTATTACTATAAAGAAACACCATAACAAAAAGCAAGTTGGGGTGGAAAATATTTATTTGGTTTATGCTTTCATATCCAAAGTCCTTCACTGAAGGAAGTTAGGACAGGAACTCAAACAGGGTGGGAACTTGGAGGCAGGAATTTACCCAGAGGCCATGGATGGGTGCTGCTTACTGGATTGTTCTTCATGGCTTGCTTAGTCTGCTTCCTTATATAATCCAGGACAACCAGACCAGGGATGGCACCACCCGTGATGGTGATTTATCAATCACTAATTAGGAAATTCTCTACAGGTTTGTCTACAGCACAGTTTTATGGAGGCATTTTCTCAATCAAGGTTCCTTCTCAGATTACTGTATCTTATATCAAGTTGACATAAAAGTAGTTAAAGGAATTACTCATTCTGAGGAGTGGATGGGGGTGGGTTGGGAGAAGTGGAGGAAGACAGGAATGGAGGAAGGGGGAATTGTGATTCATATGTAAAATGAATAAAAATTATAAAAAATTTACACATAATCACTTCATAAAAAAGTAATAGAAAAAAAGTAGCTAGCACAGACATTGACTGATCAGAGCTCAGTGGGCTGTTCTGTGAGAGTTTGGAAGATAAAAGTGTTGAAAGAAATGCAGATGACGGAGGCCTGGCTTGTGAAGTTATAGAAAGAAATTTAGGAATAATCAAAGACTCAAGCAAGGCAGTTTATGTGATAATTTGATTAAGCACCACTAAAATAAAACCTTTTCTTTGCTGGGACTTTCGATCCTGGCCAGCTGGGGCTAAAGAATGAGCTGTAATTAAGAAGAGATCAGCATCATTGAAGTAAAATCCTCTGGGAAGTGTTTCCTTAGGGTAAGCACAGAAAATGTGTGGTCCAGAGGTGACCACGGTTGTATTTCCTGTTGGCAACTGAACTTGTTATTGTCTTAGAATCTTCCAGGGGAGGCTGGATTGCAAGGCAGTAATGGGTCATAGGGAGCTGGTGAGATTGGCCACTGTGAGAGGCTAGGAAAGGTCATCAGTGAATGCGACTTCAGGTGATGTGGAAGTCCTAGAATGATAGAAGAGTGAAATTGAGTCTTGAAATCACATGGCAGAGTCAGAGTCCCTGGGGGAAGCACTGGAGAGGCTACTGATGAAGGTGTAGACCAATTTGAGTGGAGGCCCCCAACTTTTCAAGATCCACAAACCACAGAATGACTGACTACCAATGATAGCAGCAGGTGTGGAGTGGTGTTGACCTAAGGCTAGGAGACATGCTGTGTGCTGGATGGCAGAGCTGGAGAAATGCCACATCCAAGGAATGAGTCCCAGGTAACAAGCACTGAACTTTTCATACTCTTGAACTTTGGTATTGATTTGATTTAATTTTGAGTTTTTATTGCCTGTTACTTTATTGCAACTAGCTTTTGGTTTTTACCAGAACCAACAAATGAGAGATATTGAAGTTTTGACTAGACTGTAGCTAGTTTAGAGAAAGTTTGGATGTCTTACATGGATATATTTGAGAAAATTTGGAATTATAGAGAGCCTTGGAACTTTGAAAGTAACTTTGTGTGCTTTACAGAGACTGAAAATTTGAAGTGTCTAATTTTTAAAGATTGTAGGACTTCTAAAAGTTGAAGTGGCTGGGAAGTGGTGGCGCACGCCTTTAATCCCAGCACTCAGGAGGCAGAGGCAGGCGGATCTCTGTGAGTTCAAGGCCGAGCTGGACTGACAGCCTCCAAAACAATACAGAGAAGCCCTGTCTCATAAAAAACAAACAAACAAAAAAAAAGTTGAAGTGTTTTGGATTTTCGGTTTCTCTTGTAAGTAATTTCTCACAATAAATAACCAACAATATCCTTTAAAAAGTTGAAGTGTTTTATATTATATAAATATTAATATCTTAGAGACAAATGTGATAGGAAAGTTTGTAATTAAATAGTTATGTGTGTTTGTGTCAAGTTGACAAGCAGTCAATTTTGCTGGTGAGTGTTTTGTCAACTTGACACAAGCTGGAGTCATTTGGAAAGAGAAAACGTTAATTGAGAAAATGCTTTCAATAGGCTTGTTTGTGGACAAGTCTGTGGACAACTTTCTAAATTAATAATTGATGTGAGAGGGCCCAGATCACTGTGGGCATGCCATGCCTAGGCTGATTGCCCTGGGTGCTTTAAGGAAGCAGACTGAAAAGGCCATTAGGAGTAAGCTACTAAGCAGCACTCTTCCATAGCTTTTGCTTAATTTTTGCCTTCAGGTGCCTTCTGTTCTTGAGTTCCTGCCCTGACTTCTTTAAATGATGAACTCTGATTTAGAACAGTAACCTGAAATAAATTCTTTTTGTCTCCAAGTTGCACTGGGTCATGGTGTTTTATCACAGCAACAAAAACCCTAAAAAGGACACTCAGTTTCCAAAGACACTCCATATAAACCACAGAAGACTTGAGGTAAGGCCTGACTTACCTTAATCAGTATGATCCCGGCCCCCACTCCCACCCCCCAGTTCCATATATTTAACATTTAATTTCATAATTTCTTCTTTTTTATGGATGAATAAAATTTCACTCTGTGCCACATTTTCATTATCCAGTATCATTTAATGAACATCTAGGCTGATTCTATTTCCTTGCTAATGTAGATAGAGCAATAAAGAACAAATCTGTACAAACAGCTGTGTGGTAAGGCTCTTTGAGCATATGCCTGCGAGAGGTGCAGCTGGGTGGTGTATTTTTTGACAGACCTCTACACTGCTCTTTGATTGTATTTTAGTATCACTACAAAGGATGAAATACATGCCTAGTGCAATAAACAAGGTCAGAATCACAAGGCTTGGGGAGTCATAGGATCTAGATGGTTACTTACTAATGTTATTAGGTTCAATTGACATAGCATCAAACTACCTTGTAAATATGTATACCCATTGAAAAGTGGAAGTAGATTATCCTTAGTGTACATTCCAAAACTTCCAGAAACTATTGAAATGCTGAAATTTTTCAATGGTAACTTATATTTTAAAGATGTTATTTGTCAATGTTAATCTTTGAATTAAATAAAATTTCAAGAAAAGCTAACATAATGATTTGAACAACTGACCATACACACACAGGGTATGGAGAGGGAGGGAGAACCAAATAAATGAGACCTATTCTCCACTCACATTTCCCCCATTTTCTTATATTCTTTCAATGATTTATTTTTGGTGGTGTGCAGGTTATTGATTGATTGAGGCCTGGCCTCTCACATTCGAGGAAATATTTTCTTGCTGAATCATATTCTCCAGCCTGTAAGGTCAGTTTTACCTGAGTAAATGAAAACAGGGATACAAATTCCTAACAAAGCCTAAAAAGTCTAAAAAATAGAGAAGGATTTCTCTCAAACATAAAAGAAAGTCCCCAAGAATATTGATACATGGGGGAGAGAGCACAAATATCAATGGAGAAATGACATATTTTTAGTTGGAGTAATTTAGAAAATTGACCTACAATTGTAGAGTAAAATAATCCTGGATTACCTTCTTATATCATGATGAAATGGACTAAAAATGAGTTGATTCTAAATATAGAAGTTAAAAATATGAAGCTAACAAAAGAAAATGGAAAATACTTTTAGCTGTTATGGATGACAAAAACCTTTCTAAGTAAGATATAAAATACAAAACAATGAGATAAAAGATAGTTTTGAGCAAATGAAAAAAAAAACAACTAACCTAAAAACAGACTATCATGGACAAAATTAACAGGTGTGGTCTAGGAGATGCAATTATCCTATACAAGACTGATAGAATTTTAACACTTCAGTTATGCAAGTATCTCTTTAAAATCAATAAGAAGAGAGAATAGTCACTCAGGAGAAAACAGAATTGTATAAAAGTACATCGCCACAAAATGAACTCTAGATTATTAAAAAACACATAAAGATGCTATTAGAGTGCCAGGGTATATGAAATTTGACTGCATGGAGTCCCAGCAAATGAGGACTGTCCACTCAACCCAGAAATAAAATAGAAAGTAATGGTAAAAATCAAGAAAGGAATCAATACAGTTTTAGTGAGACAATAAAGGACATGGACCATCCCAGTGATGTCCTTGAAGACACTGATGTGGACTCTAAGACTACATAAGAAATGATGCAATTAGTCTGCATAATTGTGTAGATTGGTCAAAGGAACCTGGTTGATTATTTTCTCAGTTCTATGCACATACAGTATTGTTCCCACCATGCAACCTTCTATTGCTGCCAGAAAGAAACAAACTGCATTTTGTGTCAAGAAAACTGCCATTGCACATGACCAATCTTTATTTGCTTAGCATGCTATTTACCCATAAGCCCATAAAGAAAAGCAACCTATGATTCTGTTTCTTAGGCCGTAGTCTCAGCATAGGGTAATCTGCTTGCAAACAGCTTTACTGTTCCTGGATTTGTTGGCAGTAATTGAAGACTTATGGATGCCATATCAACAATCTGGTTGAGGACGCAATTGGAATTTGATCATCTGTTGAAAATACTCTAATTGCTCTTGTTTTGATATCTTCATGCTTGAAAAGGTAATGTTGCTAACATCAGAGATTTAGCTTCAAGTGATGAGGTCGTGCATTACAAAAAAACAACCAATCTCTAGATCTCAGAAATAAATCAACTTTCAAACATATAATGAGAAAAATTAAAACTAGAGTTTTGGGCTATAAATTACTGCTTATGTTATTATCAAATGTTAAATTTTCCTTATTTTTAGTGTTAGCCAAGTAGTAGGAAATAGAGAAATTTGGGCACTGTTTGTTGTGTTGTAAACCATTCCATCTACTAAAGAGCAATTTAGTAGCATGTACTGCAGAATATAGTGCAATTAACTAAACAGTGTCTCTGATAGAGCTTCTTTTGAGCTTCTGTGTAGAGAAACTCCTATAACTGTTAAGGAAAAGATTTGAATAAAAATTGTTTTTCTCAGCATTATTTAGGATAGCACATGTGGAGTCAATTGTTGCACCCATCACCATGAGACCAGATAAGTAAGATGTATTGATATCACATCAATGAACTACTGTAGAATAACTAAAAGAGGTACTAAAAGAGACACACAGTAGAATAAAAAAATTTTAAATGTATCCTCAGGTTAAAAGTAAGACTTTCTAGTATACCCTCACTTATATGGCATAATTTGTAAAAATTCAGCACTATTTATTATCAAAGACAGACACATACTTATTAATACATGTCTGAGATATCATGAGTGATTATCTTTGGTTTCAAGTAAGTGGAATATTCGAGGAAAAAGGAATGAAGTTTTCCTTCAGTAAGTTGTTTGTGTGATCCTAATATGACCAGATGGGTAATAGGAGAGCTGGCCACCAGAAATGATCTTTCATTTATCACTTAACACACCCTCCCAACAATTGTCCAGTTCCTTCTATATCAATTCAAGCAAAAATAGAATGTTAAGGTGTTTACAGTTTGAAAGGAAAACCAATCTTCCGTTTTTGCCAAACAATCTTTTCTTGAGTACATCTGATTTTGTTGCTTTCTGTGATTGTGGCCAAGAGGGGGAGAGTAAGAACTTACTTTAGCTTACAAGTTAAAATATATTGTCAAGACAGACCATGGCACAAATCTAAGGCAAGAGCCTCCTGGAAGAAGGAACTGAAGCAGAAAGCATAGAAGGAAGTTACTCATGCCTTGTTTACCCTGACTTGTTCTACCACTTTGCTAATACAGGTGAGGCCCACTTTTTCAGGCACGGTACTGTCCACAGTAGGCTGAGTCTATTTGAATCTATCAGTGATGAAAAAGATACCTCATAGAGAAGCCCATGCACGTATCTGATGGAGGTAATTCTGCAATTGAGATTCCATCTTTCCAGAGATGGGTAGGTTTGTGTCAAGCTGTGAAACCAAAACTAAGTGACACTTTGATGACTTGATTGGCAGTAATACATTTATTAGTTTGTATTTATAAAAGTAGTTGAGGTTGTCTGTGGTGTGAGATAATTTTGATTCATAAGTTCTGACAACTGGTGTGTTGATTGTTTACAGTCATCCAATCAGAGTGTCCTAGTTACCTTTCCTGCTGCTGAGATTAAACATCCTGACCAAGTCATCTGCAGAGAGTGGAGTATTTTTGTTTATACCTCAAGGATCTAGTACAAAGTGGTGAGAGTCAGGGCAATAGGGATTTGATGCCTTTGGTCACATTCATTCCAAATTTGAAACCAGAGAGTGAATGCTTGCTTGCTACTGCTTAGCTCTCTTTGTCCTACAGTGGGTAGGACTTCTAAAGTAATTAATGCAGTCATGATAACCCCCTGAAGTTATACCCAGAGTCCTGTCTCCAACATGATTCTAGATTCTGTAAAATAGACAATTAAAACTAACCATCACAAGGAATATGGAGTCTGGTGGGGACATTTGGACATGAATAATAGGTGACAGCTCTGTTTCTTTTTTCCCTTTATCTATTACTGACATTTTTATCCTTGAAGAGATATTGGCTTTAAAATAAGTCAATAAAAGACTTTGAATATTTAAAAGACACATGAAAAAATGTACTCTTTTGACAGATTTACTCAAATTGTATGCAAATGTAATGCATGTTTAATGCAAATATACTTGTGGTTATCTTAACTATTTCCTATGCTTCACTGTGCCCCTCAGTAAAATGCTAATGGTTCATCTCTGTTCTTTATGTTATTCAGCAATTAATTGTTTATATAACTTACTTTGTCACAAAAAAAGCTTAAATTAAGAAATATGAGAATCAATTCTCTGACTGGGGTAGACACACTCTCCCAAACTGCCCATGTGTAATCATGTTCTTTCATCACCTGTCTGGCTCGGTGGCATCCCTTACAGACATCACAGAATCAATAGGAAACTCTGAGCTCATCCCGGTCTCTTCTACCTCACATTTATGCTCAGTGATTATCACATATCAGTCATCTTCCAAAGTCATAATGCTCTCCCATAGCTTCTATCTTAGATAAGCCCAATGGGAAGTCTTGGGCTAACTGCAAGAGTACTTCCTTTTGTTCCTGTCCTCAACCTTAAGTCCTGCTCTATTCTGCTGCTTAAATAATATTTCCAAATCCATAGCTTATCCATACTTAATTTGTCTATGTGTTTCCCATTTTTCCAATTCCTTTTGGATAGAATCTTAGCCTTTTGCAATCTGTTCCCCATTTAATCAGACCTTTGGTCATGTTTTAGCTTACATGTGTTCTTGGAACCTGAGGAAAGCCATATAATCCCCTTATGAATCTCTAAGCAGATCCTTTCACCCATAATGGCCATTTCTGCCTCCTTTCTTCCTTCTTTCTATTAGTAACATTCTACTGATACTTCTGCAACCTAGTAAAATGATCTCTCTTCCCTTAATCCTTGCTCCCTCACTTTGCAGGTTAAGTCACTCACACTCTTCTATGTGACCAAGATCTATGAATACCTGATATCATTTCCATGTGTTACAGTGACACAAAAAGGAATTCACACATAATACATAGTTTTGTGTGTATGAACCTTATGTGAGTGTAAGCCCCATCTAATTAACTATTTACTCAGAATTATGTAGGGAGCTAGTTGAAGCTCTGCTGTACTCCAAAACCCTAGTTCCAAGATTTTTTAAACGTCCATATGATTATGTGACTTCAGGTATTCAGAACTAGGAGCAAAGCACAATATAGTTTTCAGTTAGATTGTAACCCCAATCCACTGAGCATAAAACAAAACTAATCATCACCAAATCTTCATTACAACCACCGCTGACAACATTTCCATTCCCATAGATGGACAATGAGAAAGAAAGAAAGAAAGAAAGAAGGAAAGAAAGAAAGAAAGAGAGAGAGAAAGAAAGAAAGAAAGAGAGAGAGAAAGAAAGTAAGAAAGGGTGTCAATTTGGGTAGGTAGGTAGAGGGGAATATCTGGTAGGAGTTGTATGAATAAAGAAAAACTATTTTCAAAAAACATAAAAACAGAATCAGTGTTGTTCTAGATTGGGTCTCTAAAGCTTAAGTGAACTGGGAGCTGAGACGGGCCAGAACGTGTGTGTGTGTGTGTGTGTGTGTGTGTGTGTGTGTGTGTGTGTGTGTGTAGAGACTTCATTAGATGAAAGGGTTCTATAAAGCATATTCAAGGATTTTCCCCATATTCCCAAAGCCTAGCAGGTTATCTGGCAATGATAGGCTCTTTAGACTTGTTTGATGTTTGATGGATAAACAGGCCATTAGAGATTAACAAAATAAATCAAGAAATATCAGACTAACTAAAAAAAAATGTTCTTATGTGTATAAAATCCTTTTATTCTTCCCTCCCTCCCTCTCCTCCCCTCCCTTCCTTCCTCTCTTTCTTCATTACTTTCTTTCTATTGTTTATGCTGTCATTGTTTTGTTGCTCTGTCATCAAGACTGATGAAGCAGGGCTGCTGAGAATTGACTAAATAGGAATCACCTCTGTGGTTGGCATAAGATAATCAGATTTCTTGGAATTGATCTGAATTGAACTAGATATGGAAAATATAGTAATTGCATAGGAGAAAAAATAACCTAAAGGAAGCATTTTTGGCTGAATCTAAATGGATATAGTGCTATGAAGCACAAAAGGCTTGAGTCAGTCGCAGAGACCTAGCAGAATACAAATCAAGTGTGAGATAGATCCTGACTGTTCAGCTGAGGAATTAACATTGGTGAACAGTGTGTCTGCTGTTCAGTCCAGTGTGTCCAGTGTGTCAACTTGTAAGAAAATGGTGGAGTGGTGTCAGTGTTTGGGGACTTGAAAAATATACATTAGGCACCATTCATTTATGGGAACATGACAGAATAAATTACAAAGTTCAGCACACAGTGGAACAGTATATATTCAGTTTATCATACCTGATGTAAGACTAGGTATCTCAAAGTTTTTGATAAGGAAAATTTGAATTATGTGTAGCAGCTTCCATTTACCAGTAACAGAAGTGTAGACATTACGGATCCAATAAGATTATTAACAGACAATGGCAATGAGAGCCACTAAATCTCCATAACAGGGACAAGTAGAAAGTTAAGGTTGCAAATAAGTTGAATTTGCAAGAAAACAGAGAGAGGTAAAATATAGTTTCCTAAAGCAGATTGGAATAATCCTAATAGTTCAAAATTAAGTACAAAAGAATCACATATTTCTCCAAATGGCTATCTTGATTTTACTCTGCATTTGAATTTCCTCCTTGTGCAGTTCTGAGGTTCAGAAGTAATTCATGAAAAAAAAACTTTGGTTATTGACTTATGTTAGAATGTCGTAGGAAAGCATTTAATTTCATTAAAATGATGTTCCTTTAAAGTATTGTTATCAAACAAGGTGGGAGCATAGGTATAATTGACAATAATGATTATGCTTTATCTTCCTAGGTATCATTATCTTGTGACGCTTATTGAATACAGAATGAATGTTGGCTTAATGGATATATAGAGAATGAATGTTTGCTTAATGAATGTAAGCAGACAACTGGGATCCCAAAACAGAGTGGAGGAACTAAAAGCTTAATATTAACTGACCTAGTAACTATGAGCTCAAGTATAAGAAGTTGAAAATAAGCCTAGCCATAAGATATGAAGTGTCACTTTAAATGCAATCACATATAATTATAAAGGATACAGAGTGACATGTTAGCCACTAGAAAATATAAAACATTATAATGAGGCTCTATGAAATATGAAGTCTTTTAAACATCAATTATACAATTATAATGAATAACTCAGTCTAGAAGGAACTTGACTAAGGAAAGGGAAATTCCTTCTGTGATGGAAATTATGGTAATTGCCCAGGTGATTTTAATTTAAGTAAAAACAAGCTACATTTGAGATTTTTCTACTTAGTTCACCAGGGACTTACCTATCAACTGCTCCTAACAACACCTACTGCTTCCCATATCTTTCTTGAAATTAGACAAAGTCTTTATAGAAAGTTAATGCAAAAAAGACAAACATGGTATGTACTCACTCATATATGGATTTTAGACATGGATCAGGGGATTGCAAGCCCACAATCCCACCGCCAAAGAGTCTGGGAAACAGGGAGAATCCTAAGAGAGATATGCATGGTAACCCGGAGAAGGGGAATGAGACCAGATCTCCTGATGAGATTGGGAGCTTGGGGGGAGAGGAGGGGAGAGAAAGATGGGAGAAAGAGAGGGGGAGAAGATGAGGGGAGAGGAGGACATGGGGGAGCAGGAAGGTTGAGTCAGGGTGAGCATAGAGGACAGCAAGATGAGAGATACCATAATAGAGGGAGCCATTATAGGTTCGAAGAGATCTGGCACTAATGAGATTCTCAGAGATCTACAAGAATGACACCAACTAGCATTAAGGCTACCTTAAATGCTCTCCCCTGATAATGAGATTGAAGACTACCTTATATGACAGTCTAGAACCCTCATCCAGTGGCTCATAGAAGCAGAGGCAGACACCCACAGCTAAAAACAAAACAAAACAAAACAAAAAAACAAAACAAAAAAAACTAACTGAACTCCTGGAACCCAGTTGCAAAGAGGACTGATGAGCAAAGGAATCAAGACCCGGCTAGTGAAACCCACAGAGGCAGCTAACCTAAACGAGGGGGAATGCATGGACCTGAGAATGATGACTGAAAAGCCAGCATGGGACTGATCCAGACCCTCCTGAACCTGGGTTTCAGAGAGGAGGCCTCAACAATCTATGGGGCCTTGGATAGTAGATCAGTATTTACCCTTGGCACACAAATGGATTTGGGAGCCCACTCCACATGGAGGGATGCTGTCTCAGCCTGGACACATGGGGGGAGGGCCTAGGCCCTGTGCAGGATGACATAACAGACTTTGATAATCCCCCATGGAAGGCCTTACCATCCCTAGGGAGCAGAGGGGGTTTGGAGTGGGGTATTGTGGGGACTGGGGGGAGGGGGAGAAGGGGAGGGAGAGGGAGCTGGGAGTAACATGTGAATAAAAAATTCTGTAAAAAAAAAAGAAATGAGATAAAAATGTGTGCCAAATGATGATACACAAAATTTTACCAAAGAAAAATTATTCTGCTTCAACCACTTGATGCTTGTTAAGCAATGATCATTATTAACTGACATGTGTAGGAATGCTCAATTCTTCTTGACATTAAATTAGAACCTTCACTAGGTTTGGCTGGAATATAATCAACACACTGTTCATAGTGTTTCTATAATTAATCCTGGTCATTATAGCCCAATCTATATTTTATGAAGTGTATTTAATAGAAATATCAGGTAGACATTATTTATTTATTTTTAAAGGATGGACAATGCCAAAGCTCTAAATTGCCTGTGCAAGCTGTAAATACTACAACCTCCCCCAGAAGAAATGCTTTGGAATCTATTTTGCTGGATTTTCTAATCATAAGGTGAGTACATTGAAGTGTATAGATACTTTATTTTGTCAGGCTCCCATGATGTTATATGGGATATTCAAATCTTAAGGGCAGATTTAATGGTTTCTATCTTAACTTTTCCCAGCCTTATGGCGTGAGAAAGTAAGCTCTATCAGTCTTCTCTAGAATCAGAAATGGAGGCTAAAATTTTTATCATGCTAGGAATAAACAGGTTTATGATAGTGGTGAGATGCATACATACATACATGCATACATATACATACATACATACATACATACATACATACATACATGCATACATACATATTCTTTGTCCCTTTAGGGAAATTGTTCTCAAATAACTTCTATCAGGAATATTGTGTGTGTGTGTGTGTGTGTATGTGTGTGAGTCTGTGTGTGTGTATGTATGTATGTATATATGTATGTATGTATGTATGTGTAGACTATGACTTCATTATGAAAAACACTAGTTTGAACTGACTAGCAGATTATGGCTTTTGTTGGATTCTTCCTTTATATAGTTAAAATACACTGATGCTCTTCATAAAAAGAAAATAGTATTGTATTTTGGCTTTCCCTGTATAAAATTTATAAATTTATTCTAGAGAGACAAATTCATTATAAATTGCAATTACTTTATCATGGTGTTTTAGATATTTTAAAAAATGACTTACTCTAAATTGTGTATAGTAAAGACAACTTAATGCAATTAATCATTTGTCTCAAAGAATTATTTAATTAAAACCAGAATTTGTTGAAAAGCATCACACCATTTTTTACTTATGCCACAGAAGGTAATTGCATAATTAGTAACTGGTTCACAAAGGCATATTTTTCCCCCGTAATGCTGATAACACAGGTCTAAATTGCTCTTTCTATCCAGGATCCCAAGACACTTTATAAATCATCACATTTAAGTCACTGCTCACACCTGCTCATAATATAAGCTTGCCCACACATAAGCTGTAAATGGGGTATATTTAAAGAGGTTATTTAACACTGGGATAACTCCCATGAAGACTTCTCCATTGGAGTGAAATGCAGTCATTTCAGCAGATGCTCCAGAACAATAGATACTAGTTGGAGTAAAGAAATGAATAATGCCATCTCCGATTAAAACTGCGGGAAAGATTTAGCAGGAAAAAATGTAATTACTCATTTGGACTGGGGCCAGGATACCAAGGCTAATACCCTATGCATTTGGAGGAACTTTCTTTAAACTTTAGGAATTCCAATATTAGAGACACACTTTAATATCTTAGTTAAATTTCTAGAGGAAAAAAAGACACAAGAAAAATGATTTCCTTCACGAAATCAGTCCTCATTTTTGTGCAATCTATACCTTAGTCAGGAACACATGCACACTTCCACAAATGAAGACTGGATACAACCGAAAGGTTGAAGTTATCACCAGTGAATTAAAAGACAAAATACGGGGAGGTAGCCAAGAGTCAGAGAACTGACACAAGGACAGAGGCTGCCGGGGTGACAGACTTGAGCTCACCGTGTATCCTCTCCTACTTCTGTACTTCCCCCACTCAGACATCATCGTAAAGATGGCCTGTCGTTTAGATCATGTCGAAAACAACAATGGGCTTGAATAAAGATCTTAGGAATCAATCTGGTTGTTGAAGGAGAAACTGAGACCCAGAGAATCTTGGAAAGTGACCAAAGCTATAGGTACAACTGTGATGAACACAGACATTGAAATTTAAAAAACTGACAGGAGGCAGTCAAGGTCCTTGCACACTGCAGATAATTCTAATTTTGGTAAAGCATCTACAATAATTCAGCCCCTCAGTGCAGAAGCCAAGGGGGAGGGGAGCATGTTCATGTGTTTATGCAGTTTAAAACTTGTCACCTTTCTGTCTTATTATTTCTAAGCTCAGTACCCATTCTCACACCCTTCACTAGCAGATGGCAGGGAGAACACGAAAGCACAAAGTGACAAGAGGAATAAATTGGAGAGAAACATTCATAATAACTATGATTAGAGGAATTGAGCACAGTTCATAGGAAAATGCATGCCTGCCAAATCCAATTCTACTTTTACTCCCACCTCCCCCTCTACCTCCCTAACTCTAACACCCAAGGTCCTTAAACACTGACTTGGAATTAAAATGGATTGTTTGCAGCTGCTCACATGCAGGCTTATTCTGCTGGCCCTGCCCACTGTTTACATGTGGCTTCCCTTCCTAGCCCCAAGTGCTTGCCAGGGAAGGCCATTTGAGAAGCAACAGGATTGCAAGCTGAACAGAAAGCATTTTATGAGTCAGCTTGATCCTTAACCATGGACTGAGAGTTCTTAGCATTAAGCTATTAGCCTTGGTTCCTGGGTTTAAAAGGAGCTTGCTATCTTCGGTTGTGCTCTCCACTGTGGTAGCTGCAGGGTTCAGGCCTTTTTGCTGTTTCGATTTAGTTTCTGTCAAGTCCCCCTTTCCTTCTGCCCATCATCTATAAATGCTCTGATGGCTGAGTAGAATTTTCAAGCTCCATATGGATAAAGGACTGCATTATATCTGATTGTAGCAACTGCTAGTACTTTTCAAAAGCCCGTGTTTAGCAAGTGGAAATGAAATTGTTCTTGCATCTAGCTGAGTGCAGCCAATAGGAGACTCAATGAGATTGGGCTAGAATATGGCATGCACACAGCCAGTGAGGTCCCTTGGCAGATATCGACTTAAACGGGAGAGAAAGTGTAAGTCCCAGCACAGAAGAAGCTCTGCTTCTCCTAAGAATAAGTTCCCCATTGGCCTGGCTGTTTTGCCTGGTAGACTTCTACCAGCTCGTGAGAACATAATTAATGTCTCCAGCTAAAAACTACAAATAACTCTGTCTTCAGTTGGAAGACAAAAGGCATTAAAGGAAATGCATGCATGGTCTAGGCACTTTCTGTGTAATGACATGTAGACAAGAATACTAATAGTGTTGCCAATATGAGAAGCACAATCCATTCTCTGCTTATAAAATTTGATTCTAGAGGTTACTAAGAAGGCAGAGGCAGGTGGATTTCTGTGAGTTCAGGATTGAGACTATATATGTGTGTGTGTGTGTGTGTGTGTGTGTGTGTGTGTGTGTGTGAAGATTCTAGAATTATTCCAACATATTCTAAACTTGTGCCATTATACAGGAGGACAATATGCCACTTTTTATAGTTCTAAATTTTAGTGGTAATAGCCTTATAATTTGTTTGTAATGAAATGCCTTTCAATGAACAAATGTTTCTATGCCCTATTCATTCAAGAATAGATATCCTTATATTTCGGGTCCATGTTTGTTCTCAGAAAATTGGAGAAATAATAGCATTTTGTTTTTCTATTTCTGAATTTAAACTTTGCAGAGCTGAAGTGACATGGAAGGGAATAGGATATCAGTAAGTGTTATGGTGTAGAGCAGTGGCCAGCCTTTGCTTCTAGGCCCCCATGCTGACACTTCTCTCAGAGGCACTGTCTTGCTAACACTACACTGTTACTGCCTTTCAATTCAGCCAGAAGGCAATTCCTCTATGAGATCCTGAGCACATTCCCATTTTTACCTGTAGAATTTGTCAATGTTAACCACACTGCAGAGGGACCTGCACTGAAGTGTTTTGAGTGTGTAAGTATGTGGGCAGGGAGGGGCCAGATCACAAAACAATCCTCAACCAAATGATGAGTAAGAGACACTGAATGAAAACAGACTATTTGGACAGAGTGAATTGCTCAGTGCGTAAGAGCACTTGCTGTAGAAATATGAGGACAAGAGCTTAGCTCCCCAGTGTCCATCTAGACAGCAGGGTGCAGTCACCTGCAACCCCAGCAATGGAGGAGTGTCAACATCAAGCTTACTGGGGCATACTGTAAGGCCAGGGTACATGAAAAATGATGTCAGATTTTCAAGGAAATAAAGGATAGAGTGGTGGATCAGGATACCCCATGATCTCTATCTCTGCAAGAGCACAGGTTCACACACAGGCACACACAGCAAAGGAAAGAAAAGAAGAATGACAGTGGATTATATAGTTAGGACTTTTCTACTAAGAGCATTGTGAGGAAGATTAATTTCTATGCAGGGGAAGCAATACAAATCTACCACTCTTATCTATCTATGAGCCCTGTCTACCTTATTCCCTTAGGTTGATGAAGGAATATGTGCGAGGTAAACCCAAATACTGTCCTTGGCAATTGATAGTGAAATGGAGAGGCATAAGATACTGGCCAAAACTGTAACTCCCCAGGAAATACACAGGGCATCAGTGGTGTGTAGTGTGTCTTTTCTTACCTGAAATACCTCCTAAAAACTATCAAACTAAATGTACAGGCGGTTTGCAAGTTGTTAAGTCACAGTGGAAGGGGAGTCAGTAAACACTATAAATCTAGGACATAAAAATTTCCATCAGTACAAGCCAGATTATCAACTCACCTTGATGGCCTCAAGAAAGGTGTCTATTTACTCGTTTTATTAACCTTGCCTTCTCTGCTTATTTGATCATCTCCTCTCAGGAATGCCAATGCAGACCTCAAGCATATTTATAAGATACTATATTTTAAAGGTTTTATTTTTTTTAATTTGGAAAATATATGATCAGAAATTTTAGTATTTTCATAAGATGAACCAGTACACTTAATTCCTTGATTTATGTGTGCTTTATGCTGACACAGGTGAGTTGAAAACTAATTATGTCTAACCTATGCATAATATGGTACCTATAATCGTACTCTGCAAATGTATATTGACTTGAATAGAGTCAAATAGAATTGAAATAAATCAAATTGGATGGAGTTCAATTGAATTGCAACAAGACTGAACTAATTTAGAATCTGCAATAATGCACAATAACTTGATTTTCTGTATTGAATTAAAATTAACTTTAGTACTAAAAATAAGATTACTTCTCTTATGAAAAAGTCATTTCTGCTTATTGTTTATAAGAATATATAGGCCTGTGGTAAGTGGTTTACTTTGTTCTTGAAGTAGGATTATTTGGAAATCTCTACAGCATCTATTATGCTAGAAAGCTAGGTTGGAATTTG